TGAATGAGTAGCAACCACAATTATACCCCTCCCACCATTTATGAAAACTGATATAGGGGCCATGTGGATATGCTCTATATCTTTAATATCTCTAGCCTCAGTATTTTTAGCCTCAAAATATTTTTCAAGGCGAAAACTGTTCCTCTTGTTTGCTTCAAACAATTCTGATAAGCGCGTGAACAGTGTTCCAAACTGCTCCTGAGAGAAACATTCCTGAATTCTCTTTGCTTCCCTAACTGGATCTGCATTCAACTTTCTTAGCTCCAGTGAGGAGAAAGAAGTCATAACTATTTTTCCCGACAAGTATAGTTCCACTTCTATCTTTCCAACATCTTCAGCTAGCTTAGTTTCCAGTGAAAGAACACTACTGGAACAATTCACTTCTGAATTATTGGAACCTAAGACCATTTTGTAAGGTTTGAAATTTGCTTCAGCTTCTAGTCCATTCACAGCAGTCTGAATAGCAGGGTCCAAGTCCACACTGATTCTACACATCAGGTATCCAAGATCAAATTCATCTCCCAGCAATTGTGTCTCTCCCGTATAGATTTCAGCCTGCATTATGTGTGTCCAGGGAATCTTAGGAATATAAGAATCTGAAACCATTACTACAACAATTACAGTTGGACCACTTTGTTCCAACACATAAACCCCACCACGTACGCCTTTCCCACAATTCACTGGTATAGGTTCCCCTGTAACCTTAAGCTTCCCAACTAAGATACCTACACTCCTTAGAAACTGAGCTTTCAGGACAATTGTGTTTGCCCTTGAGTCACTGATAGGTTGGACACCAGGACCCCCATATACATGAACCATAGTTTTATATGACAGAAGTCCCGACGTTGCTTCATCTGGTTTATTGACGTGCACTTGTCGTTAGGTGCACTCAAAATAAATACAATACAACACTAATACGTAGTATAACGAAGTAAGGTTCGTATCCACAGGGAAAAGAATACTTTTCTTTTATATAAATAGTAACAAGGGGGGTTTAGATTTGTTTGGTTTGAAAACACTAAGATAAACAACCTATATGAGTTTAATTCAATGAGATGAGGACTTGGTTTTGCTTTTATCCACTTAATGAAATGTTCGTCGATCCCGGTTATATCTTTAACTATCTTCCTCTCGAATACTCAATCGAGGAGTATATCCAGTTCATCGAGGGTAGTTATTAATAACGAGATGCGTTCATTAATAAAACTTACTATCGATTCAATATAGAACAAGCGCCGTATATTAACTTGATAGTAGAAATAAACTTAAGATGAAAACGATTGAGATTGATAACCTCAACACAAGCGGTTTATTGGTTTAATCAATATAATTAATTCCCCTTAGTATATTAACCATGAGATGCATGCATTAATATCCCAAGTTTACTACCATTGAAAGAACCGGATTAATAACAAGCGTATTAACCGATTGATTCTAGTAATAATTAATATGAGAAACAAAACTAGTTGATACTTTAAGTAATGTTTAAGATATTAACATGAAATATGAATAGGAATTAATTAATACTCAAGGAAGAATGTTAAAGAATATGAATCCTACTATGATTAATATCAAGATGTTAACTAATTGTCATCTTAGTAACACTCCCCAATATTAACATAGAGGAAGAAATGGCTATTACTATAACCAATGTCAAGATGTTAACTAATTGTCATCTTAGTAACACTCCCCAACTTTGATATAGAGATAGTATTTTAAAAGAAAGAATTAATATTCAAGGAAGAAGATTAAAGAAAATAACTCACAACTTACAAATTCATTAAGCTTCAAAGTAGCAAAACCAAGATGGAAGAGTTTAGCTCCTCATTTGGAGACTAAACATGATAAAAAATATAAAGAAAGAACTATTCTATACTGAGCTTAGGTGTACAAAGGAATTAGATCTCTTTTTGTGAAGGAAAGGAGGTGTATTTATAGGCTTTTGGGATGGGATTCGGGTACTCGATCGGGTATATACATGGTACCCGATCGAGTATGTGTCTAACACTCGATCCGAGGTATACTCGACCGGTTTCAGGCTATTTTCCATAAGTATACCCGATCGAGTATATATATTAATACCCGGTCGAGTATGCTTAGAAAATGGTATTCGGACCATACTCGGCCGATCTTCGTTTGAAACTCAAAGGCATACCCGATCGGGTATGTCGGTCTACCCGATCGGGTATAGATATAAAATCGTGGCCGAAATCTTCCCGGCATGTTCCCTTGTCTTCGGATCTGATCCGATTTGAAGTTCCAACCTAATACCCGATCGAGTATAGTTAATACTCGACCGAGTATAGACCAAAATTCAGGATCTTCTTTTGTCTTTGAACTTTTGCACCTTCTTTCCACTTTTTGGGTTCACCAACTGTATTTCAAGTGATCAATACCTGTTTGAGCTCAGAATATATCTAATCTAACCTATTTACAAGAATATAACAAACTAATCTATTACACCAAAAGTGTGTAATTTCCATAGTAAAGATCAAGCAAAACTAATTAAAAACACAAACATAAATATGGAAATTACAAACGTATCATTTATATAGAGTCCCATCAAACATGGTATTCCCATGTTGTGCTTGTATTTGAGTTATCTCTGATATTTCCAGTTGGAAAATTTTGAGCATTGGAAAACTCATTGGGTTTGGTTGCTCAGGCAGTTGCATGCTGAAACTTCCATCAGGCAAGGTGAAAACAAAGCTTCTAACCCCAGCAGCTTTCCTTGTTCCTCCCCTTTGCTCAATCACCCCATGACCATGAGTTGAAGCATCCAGACAGTCTCCATTAGAACCCATAGGGCCTTCCATGTTGTTCCCTCCAACGGCTTTCAGCATACTATCTGTGGTCCTCATAGTTAAGAACTGTTGAATAGGGTCAGAAGGATCCCAGTACATCACCCCACCACCAAAGTACTGGTTATAATCCATACCAATACAACCACGGACCCCTAATTCGTCTTCTGTGACATGATAGTGGTGCAGTACCTTTTCAGCATCCCTATTGTTAGCTACTTTGATATGATCAGAATTATAACCGTGAACATAGCTCAAACTATCAAACCCCTCAAAGGAATTATTTTGGTTTTGCATTTCAATTTTGTCCTCCTTTTTCTCAGTCTTTGATTCATCCTCTTCTATTTCCACAGTTTCCTCTTTACGAACAGTTTTTGTAGAGCTTTCCCAAGTATTCGAACCAACATTTTTATCAACGCCATATTCATATTCCACGACAATGGACTGAAACACCACAGAAGTTTTTACCTCTGGTTCCTCATCACCATTGATGAATGTATCTTCAGAGTTAGGTTGTTGCTGAATCCCAGACTGCTGCGGGAATGAAATTGACTCAACTTGCGGTCTGTGAGAAGCGGAAATATGCGATGAAACCTGCGGTGAGACCTGCGAATTGAGATAAGTCTCTCTTTGAGCCTTGCGAACTGAGACCTGCGAACTGGTAGACACTGTGCGCGACTGCGAGTGCGATGATTTCCGGTTTTCTGTCTTCCGCCTGCGTGTAGGTTGGAATCTCCGAATTGTAGCTTCCTTCAGAACTTCCCAATTCTTTTCTCTAGTTTCAATTTCCCACCATTGGAACCAGTCTAACGCCCTTTCCTCCATTGCTTCTTCTGTGACTCTAACCTTATGTTTTTCCGCAATAGCGTTGAGTTGGAAGTATCGTTCCATCTTAATTATCCATCTGTACACCTCATCCCCATTGAATACTGGTAAATCTACTTTCCTTCCAGATTTCTCCATCCACCTGCTATAATCATTGTTTCACCAAGAAGAGCGGTGATTACCTGAAGAAGACGAAGAAGATTCGCTAATGTCATGTCTCTTGCTTCGTTTTGTTGTTTTAGATCTTCCGCGCGACTGGCTCTCACTCCGCTGCAGTAACGCGTGCAACTCATCGCGAGTTCGCTGAGCTTCTTCGCACATCGCTTCAGATAAAGATGAGTCGCCACTGTCAGTTCTCGCACTTTTCCTGGATGTTTTTGATCTTTCGCGTGATTTGCGATCATTCCGCTGCAGAATGAATTCGCGTAACTCTTCTCTATTTCGTTTGGCTTCTTCGCGATTCTTCTCCAATTGGCGCACCATGTTCTCGCGATTCTTCTCCAATTGGCGCACCATGTTCTCGCGACTCTTAAACAGCTCGCGCTCCACGTTTTCCAACCTCACTTCCATCGTACGCCTGATAGCAACCATAAACAGGTACCACGATCGTTGCTCTGATACCATTGTTAAGTATCTAACTGAATTACAGAGAGAATTCTAGCAAACAATAGGAACGAAGATGAACAGTGAATACGATTTGTTATTCGAACAACAGAAAGTGCCCTGACAGTTAAAGAGATGTCAACTCTCCAGTCCCAGCCCAATACCAAATAACAGCCTCCTTATTCCTCCTTTAGCTATCTATTTATAGAAGTCCACCCGACCCCCCAAATACAATTCAGCTAGCGACTTATTATTCCCTTTCCTTCTGGAATACACTTTATCATAATAGCTAATACTATTATTATTATTATTATTATTATTATTATTATTATCAAAAGGTTGACTTCCTAAGACTCTAACATTGACTTTGTATTCATTTCAAATCATTTTTTTCTTCATATTTTAACTTTTCAGAATCATTTGACATCATTTTATTTGGTTTCATTTAAGGCATACCAACAAAAGGAAGACATATTTGCCCTGTCAAGATAGGTTGAACACACTCAGTGAGTCCAATCATGGGGTCAAGACATTTCATTAAACCGAGACCTAAAGCATAAAGAAAAAACTAATCCATATGGGCCATAAGCTCATAAATAGATAGAGAGTGGGGCAAATGAGTTTCGACAACGACAAAATCAGCTTATAAAAAACTTAAGGTCATTAAGATTTTACCAATAGGGGATATTAGTTATTATTAACTTCATTTGTTTTGGATTCTTTTTTATTATGATAACATACAAAGCTTTGTTAAGCACTTTGGGAGTTGTGGCAGGCACAAGCGGAAAAAAGCGGAAAAGATATGATGCTCAAAAAGTAAAATCTAAGCCATTTATTTTCTTTGCATCTTCGCTGTGTGCAACATTATTGGACTTCTTGGTGACATCCTCTTTTGGCTTATGCATGTATTTGGAAGTGGAAGTGATCCTTAGGTTGCAATCAGGATCATAAATAGCTGTGAGATCTCGATTGTCTGTTGCAATAACACATTTGCCTAACAATGCCGGCCTTATCACTTTTGGCAGGACAAAGGTGGACTACCTTCAGAGAATCTTGTTTTTAACCTCCACATTCCACATCCATTAAAGAAGCAGCTAATTGATGACTGTGAATTCATTACCCATTTGGGCAAGGTAAACTATAGACATACTGTTATTGCATTAAGCTTCATTTTCCGTTCCATAGCATGCACACATTCAGTCTTTTTTTCTATTTTATTTGGAGGGGTTTGGCTCAAGAGTTTTAAACTCCACCATCGACTCTGGTTACCTTGTTTGTTTGCCTACTTTTAAGTACTTGGGGTTCCAGAATTGAGTCCTGGAAGAATTAAAACACTAATGCATATAATAAAGTCCACTAAAAGAAAAACTCTGGAATGGAAAATGAGGGAGGTAGAGAAAAGTTGAGCAGGGAAAATAAAAAAATGATTATGTTACCTGTTAACTACCAAACAAAGAGACTAGTTTCAAAAGAACCTTCTCAACATACTTATTATTGGAATCTTTTTGGTGTTATAACCAAAGGCCCTAACTCTAATTATCTGAAACAGTTGAAATTTGTGCGATCAGCGAAACGCTTTTGCTCCCGCCTCCCCACTTACACAAACACAAAGTCCTGTTTCAAGAACATTTTTGTCCAAAAAGAGTGTCCTCTTTAAACGAATACCAAAAAATAAAATAAATACCATCAAGTAAAATACAACAATTCCTTCTCCGCCCTTTAGTTCACCCACTTTCCTTTTGGATGTCCCAAAATTATCTTCTCATTTATTTTCAAGGAATATGAATAATGGAGTTTGATATCATTATTTTCCTTTCTAAATAATCTGAATTGCACATTTTTTATTTTCTTAAACTTAAGTCAAACGGGGAATATATGAGTAGGAATTTATGATTTTACATAGTTGTACCTTGCCAAAGATAGGAAGTTGTGCGTGGGCCAAAGAAGACATTTTTTGGGGTGGGGAGAATCAAATAATTTTGTGTTCACTTATTACTATTTGTATTGTTGTTATTATCAACATGCATTATATATATTTTTATCCTTAGTTATTAGTATCGAGGCAATTGTCAATCCTTGATGATCCCTCTTCAGTTCGCTATAAAAAATTGAAGTCTAAACATTCTTGTAAGCACATATATATTTTGCAGCTTCTCCAACTTCCTCGTTCTCCTAATGTGGATGAAGTACTTAGCCAATACAGTGTCTATCTGCAAAAGAAAGATGGGATGTGAGTTCATCTTTTTCACATTTTCCATCATATCTCTGATAACTTCTTTTTCATCAGCGGACTCTTTATTTCTTTTTTAACTTGGGGATAGTAGTAATTTCAATTCTTTTTTTTTAGTTATAGGGTCTCACGGTATGTACTTTAATGCTATTTTGCGTGTATGGTTGATAAAGGGTAGCTGATTCACTAAGGGAAATTCTCAGTGGATTGCAACGTTACTTTGACAAAGCATTGTCATCCTTGCTGCTTTACAAGAATGAGCGTGACCAGTATGAAGTAGCAATTAAAGATGGAGTCTGCCCTTCGTTTGTCTATGGTGCTGAGCATCTATTGCGTTTGTTTGATATTTATGCTAATAACTCATTCACATTTCATCCACCCAGTTGGTTCTGCGTGCACCTTCTTATGTATGGGGAACAAACCAATCATATTTGAAATTTGATTCATGCTTCTTTCATCCAATGTGTATGTTTGGCAGTTAAATTGCCTGAAATATTGCATCATGCAAATATTGTGGATGAGTCAGTGATCGAGTTGCAGCAGGAATTACAGGACTTCCTCAGGTAAGTACAATTGTTCTTCACATGTTTGTTAGGGTCCTTTTGGAAAATGGAAATTAATAATCCAAACTTTAAGCGGTTTTCTTACAATAATCCCACCTTTTCGTTATTCATTAACAATCCAACCTTTGTACCTCATCTTCATTCACTGGTCCCTGACTGGTTGATGACATGCTATTCCAAGTTATTTTCTCATCTTTGCAAAATATTATCTTTGTGAAAGGTGAGATTTATGGTATAATGATTTGTAGAGATAAGAAAATAACTTAGAATAGCAGGTTATGAACCGGTCAGGGACCAGTGAATGAAGATGAGGTGAAAAAGTTAGATTATTAATGAATAGCGAAAAGGTGAGACTATTGTAAGAAGACCGCTTAAAGGTTGTATTATTAGTTTCCATTTTCCCAATATAAAAAGAAATTTGAAAGAAACAAAATGCAGTTTAAATACAAAAACATGCTCCAACTCTATAAGCCAGTTTCTGATATTTCATTTAAATAGTGCTAGTATTATATAAGGAATTTTTTTTCATAAATATTACTACTATGTAACCATCCAACAAGTGAAAAGTGCTGCGTAGTAACTTTTATAGGATAAAGATGTTATCTTTTGCAATATGTAACGTAAAACTGAACATATAAAACACAACCCTCCTTGTCAATTTCCTCACATCCATTAGACTACCATTTTCTTGGTCTCAAACATAGTCTCAAGTCAAAATACAACAACAACATCTACTGCAAAGAAGAAGAATTAGATTTTGATAAAACTCTTACCCCAGTTGCCAGACTTGAAACTATAAAGATATTCTTAGCATATGCTGCCCATAAGCAATTCACAGTCTATAAAATGGATGTGAATAATACCTTCCTAATTTGTCTACTAGAAGAGGAGGTCTACGTGGAGCAGCCTCCCGGATTTGAAATCAATAGAGAGGAAGATCACGTGTTCAAATTAAAGAAAGAGTTATATGGACTCAAGCAAACTCCAAGAGCATGATATGACACTCTCTCTCTAAACATTTAGTGAAAAATGGGTTCACTAAAGGCAAAGTAGACACCATACTATTAAAAATTGAAGAAAGTTATCTCATACTGCTTGTATTTGAAAACTCAAAACAAGCAATATGTAAGAATTTTTCAACTCTCAAGCAAATTTGAAATGAGCCTAATGAGAGAGTTGAACTATGTCTTGGGACTACAAATGAAACATACTCCACAAGGTTTCTGCATCAACCAAGCTATTGAATTAAACAAGATTCAAAACATCACGACAAAAGTTTGGAATGATGATCAAAGTAAAGGAATTACCTTGCACCCAGTCAGGGGGGACTTCCTAGCCACCTGCTGAGGGGGAACTCTTACACAATACTCAAGGAAAGTCACCTACTCAAAGAAAGCTACTCAAAATTCAAGCAGTAGGCTCAACAGGTGACTGACTTCCACAAGCAGGTGACTGCAAACTAGCCCACTGCTACATTTTCTTCTAACTGGCTGGAATGTACAACACATATCTCAAAGAGGAAAAACAAAGAGAATCAAGAAAGGTGGCTACATCCAAACAGCAGAGGGCTCACAGGACAAATAACTCACGAGAACAACAAGCTGTTTCATAAACAGCAGGAGGCACAATTATAGACACATATACATGGAATACCAGCATTTGGTACAAACCATCTTGATCCCCTCAAAGAAGAAAATCCAGAAATGGAAGCTCCAAACAAGCAAACATCAACTAAGGAGGAATGGATACACAAAGCCATCACAATCAAGAAAGAAAGAGGATGACAAAAACAAACAAAAAGATGAGAGGTCTAGATCTTGACTCAACAAACTCAGCAGTAGAATCAGAGGAACTTGCTACCACAAAGAAACTAAGAGTCATGATCATTAGGAATGGAAGACAAGAGGAACAACTAGCTCAAACTGTTGAAGCTCAAAAATCAAATACCGATTCATAAAGGTACTATGGTGATTGGTGATTCATAAAACTCAGCAGTAGACTCATATATGGATTGAAAAAAGAATACTATTAATCTGTAGAATCTAAATTTTATTAGGAGCATCCTGCTTCTGCAGCGTCCTAATAAAATAAAGGTTACCTACAAAGATAGTTAGCATCCTATTTTTAATAATTACTGTCGAAAATTAGCCATAACAAGTTAAAACAGTTTCCTAGAATTATCCATTTCTGAGCAAACAAGGCATGCAAAAGGGAGTGTCAGACTTCATCAATACAGAAGAGAATTTATGATACATGCAACATGCAAGAGAGACACATGTTGATCCAAGTAAACCTACTCAATGGCTTCATTAATGATGGTCATCAATACCATTTAATGAAAATCCTCATACTTTCTCTTGAAAAGAGAAACTTGTCGCTAAAAACATTAAATCAACGACGCCTCGACCTCTTAAACAAATCTCGAAAGATGAAGAGACGATCTAAACAAATTGGATATAAATCCTCTTCTCGAGCATGTAATAGGTCATATCAAAATCTTGCACCTATTCTTCTACAAACCTTCCTTCAAAATCTCTCCTTCCCTCGAAATGGTTAACTCATCTTAGAATATCTCCCTAGAACTTTCTCTCGCACCTCCAAACCAACAGAGACCCGCCACAGCAGAAGAAACTTCTGCTGAAATCGAATCTATGATCCTCTTCAACACCTACAAGGGAGCTATGGATAGAGAGTTTCAAAGAATGATGAGGTGGAGAACAAGTAGATTTTAACCAATCAACATTCTCTTCCTTGCCTGCGACTTCATTCGAGAAGAAGAGAGATTTGCAAGATTTCACATTTGGCATATGCTGATGACCTAATGCTTTTCTCAAAAGGGGAACTTAAATCTATAAAGATATTGGTGGATTCTTTGCATGATTATGGGAGGGTTTCCGGCCTTATGGTCAACCATGACAAATCCAATATCTTTGTAGGAGGAAACATAGCAAATAGGCTACCTGCCATTCTACAATTGGTGGACTTTCAACAAGGATCCTTTCCTGTAAGGTACCTAGGTATTCCATTGGCCCCTCTTAAGATATCTGTAGCCCAATTCTCTCCTTTGATTGATACGGTTACAGATTATCTTAATGCATGGAATACTAAGTCCTTATCATATGCGGGGAAAGTTGAGTTAATAAAGTCTGTCATACAAGGGGTACAATCTTTTTGGCTTGGAATCTTTCCGGTTCCTAAAACCATTTTGGATAGAATTACAAGCCTTTGTCGTATATTTCTTTGGGGGGGAAAGCATGCAAAAGTGGCTTGGGAAGATGTATGTTTACCTAAAAAGGAAGGAGGTCTAGGTATTAGGGACACAAAGATTTGGAATAACGCATTACTATCCCGTACTCTATGGAATATCCACTCAAAACAAGACTCTCTTTGGGTAAGGTGGGTACATGGGGTATACCTAAATGGGGGTTGTGTGTGGACCTTTGTTCCACACAATAGGGACTCACAATTAATGAAGAGATTGGCATTGATACGTGACATGATGGTCTCAAAATTCTCTTCTATAGCCGAGACCACCACATACCTTGAAAAGATGACTTTTAATGGTAAATTATCTTCTTCCAAGGTATATGAGCTTCTTAGACTTAAAGCCACACCACATGCGTGGATGTCTTTCATTTGGAAGGCGTACATCCCTCCAAAATTCTCATTCATAATGTGGTTAGCATTTCGGAATAGGCTGCCAACGTATGATAACATGATATATCTTGATGTTGCTAATGTTTGTCCATTCTGTAAGGGTGAACCGGAGACGGTACCACACCTATATTTCGATTGTGCATGTACAGGGCAGCTTTGGAATAATGTCAAAGGTTGGCTAGGTATTTCAAGACAAATGGCATCCTTGAAGAGTGTGGTGAAGTGGACCCAAAGGGAGTGCAAAGGAGCGCACATTAGAGCCAAAGCAACAAGAATAGCGTTTAGCTACACCATATATTGGATATGGCGAACTCGAAATGCAATTCGTTTTGATGGTGCGGCATTGAAGTTGGATGAGATGTTTACACATATCAAGTATATGGTGTACAAAGTTCTCTATTCTCTCTATCCATACCATATGATTAATTTTTGAAGGTTTTTTGTCACGGCTTGATGGCTGGCTGTTTTGCTACATTTTTGGCTAGATCTCTGATCTAGAGGTTTGCTAGTATAGCAATTGATGTATAGGATATCCATACTTGGATATGCCTCTAATTTTGCAATGATGTACATAACTTTTGGTTACTATATATATATTTACAGTTCACCAAAAAAAAAGAAGAGAGATTTGCTCTTGAATGGATGCAGACGTCAAACATTGAGTTTGCTCTCTGCAAAGAAAAAATTGTCAGTCTACAATATCAAACTAGAGATGATCAGACAAGAGGTGGCGAGACGGAAGAAAAGAAAGACAGATGCAAGCTTCTGTGTTGGAGAACCATCAACAAGAAGAAATCAAGAGTAGAATAGGGACCACTAAAGAAAAATGCTACCAAAAGAGGGGGAAGAAAAAAGTCAAACATTTTAGTCTCATTATTATCTTATTATTCCTAAGTTAAATGTTTGACTAGTATCTTCTTTTGGCATCATCATAAAAGGGGGAATTGTTAGACCCCTAGATTTTGATAAACAGTTTTGATGATGTCAAAGTTTTTATATGTCCCTAGTCTTTTGTAGCATTTAACTTAAGAAATCAAAGTGATGTATTCTGCTTTAACCAAAATGCTAGTAAAGTATTATCTGAAAGTGTCTT